CCACCCCTCATGCCTCTATAAATATAGCTAAATCTTACTGTATTCAAGCCTGAAGCTGTAACTCTGCATGCTGTTAGAGTCAGAAAAACAAGCAGTCTGCTGACATCATTAGAAGTGGTAGCCTGATCCAATCACAGTGCTTCCCCATAGGATTGGCTGAGACTGACAAGGAGGCAGATCAGGGGCAGAGCCAGCATGATTCAAACACAGCCCTGGCCAATCAGCATCTCCTCATAGAGACAAATTGAATCAATGAATCTCTGTGAGGAAAGTTCAGTGTCTGCATGCAGAGGGAGGAGATACTGAATGTTTGGATGCATTTTAGGAAGCCATGACCCAGGAAGGATCTCTAACAGCTATCTGAGGAGTGGCCAGTGAAGTGATCACTAGGCTGTAATGTAAACACTGCATTTTCGCTGAAAAGACAGTGTTTACAGCAAAAAGCCTAAAGGTAGTAATTCTAATCACCAGAACAAATTCAATAAGCTGTAGTTGTTCTGGTGAATATAGTGTCCCTTTAACCCCTTAAAGACACATGACATGTGTGACATGTCATGATTCCCTTTTATTCCAGAAGTTTGGTCCTTAAGGGGATAAACTATATTAAATAATAAATTATGTCTAAAAAAAGGGAATTTACAAAAAACACCATTAAAAATGCAATATAGCTTGTGATAGATGGGGGAGGGGAGGGGAGGGTGTCCAATATTATTTGTAAATGCAATGTGGTAAATAAGTAGTTTCACGAGAGGAGCAATTCACCAAAGCCCGTTAGATTTCACTTCAGGGCTACAAAGTGCCTCCAACTATATAATTAAATTTAAATTAAGGAGGCAACTCTACAAGTAATTTCCAGTCAGAATGTAGGTGGTAATAACTAAACAAAACATTGCATTCTAACGCATGACCGTTGCATAGTCGCTATATGGGCATGGAAGAAATATTAGTACATTAACCCAAAACCCACCCAGTAAGACACCAACACTCTTACACCCTGTTCCAAATTATTATGCAAATTATATTTTTCTCATTTACCTAAATAATTGATGAAAATAACAGTCAGCATAATTCTCATGTTATCAACTATTAAGACTAAAATTCAAATTTTATTGAACAAACCTCCTAATGATAACAGTATTTTTTTTAAACATAAACTTACAATGCACTGTTCCAAATTATTATGCACAGTGTTTCAAAACACTTTATTATAAAGAACTGAAAATTGTCATTTGTTGTATTTGCAGCATTTTTACTGAAATCAAAAGCTATTTCAATCAAACTGATAACATTTTAACTTTTTAAACATTTTAACAGGTCATGTTACATTTTAACATAGGACCCCTTATTTGATAGCAGCTTCACGTCTTGCATCCATTGAACATGTGAGTTTTTGGACAGTTAATGCTTGAATTTGTTTGCAAGATGTCAGAATAGCCTCCCAGAGCTGCTGTTTGGATGTAAACTGCCTCCCACCCTCATAGATCTTTTACTTGAGGATGCTCCAAAGGTTATCAATAGGGTTGAGGTCAGGAGGGATGGAGGCCACACCATGACTTATCTCTCCAGCCATTGATGCAGAGGTATTCTTTGCAGCATGAGATGGGGCATTGTCATGCATGAAGATGATTTTATTACGGAAAGCATAGTTCTTCCTTCTGTACCACATACTCCACATACTTTGCAAAGGTCATCTTTACACCTTCGGGGATCCTAAAGGGGCCGACCAGCTCTCTTACCATGATTCTGACCCAAAACATGACTCCAGCACTGCCTTGCTGACGTTGCAGCCTTGTTGGAACAGGGTGGCCATCCACCAATCATCTTCTACTCCATCCATCTGGACCATCCAGAATTGCACGGCACTCCTCAGTGAACAGGACTGTTTGAAAATTAGTCTTCATGTATTTTTCTGCCCAATGCAGCTGTTTCTGCTTGTGAGCATTGGTTAGTGGTGGCCAAATAGAAGATTTATGCACAGTTGCAAGATTCTGGAGGACTCTACACCTTGATGTCTGTGGGACTCCAGAGGCACCAGCAGCTTCAAATATCTGTTTGCTGCTATGTAATGGTATTTTAGCAGCTGCTCTCTTGATCCGATGCAAGGATCTAGCAGAAATCTCCCTTAATGTGCCTTTATCTGCACTAACCCGTCTGTGCTCTGAATCAGCCACAAATCTCTTAATAGTGCGATGATCACGCTTAAGTTTTCGTGAAATATCTAATGTTTTCATACCTCTTCCAAGGCATTGAACTATTTCACTCCTTTTGGCCCCATTTGGATGGTGCTCTGCTTAATAATGTGGAACACCCTCCTTTAGTAGTTTTTTCCGTAAATTGGTCTCACCTGGCAATCTAATTATCACAGGTGTCCGAGATTGTTTTCAGTGATCAAAAGAGCCCTGAGACACAATGCCATCCATGAGTTAAACTGAAAAACTAAATATTTAAACTTTGTGACACTAGAAATAGAATTTGCATAATAATTTGGAACAGGGTGCATATATGTTAAACACAAAGAATACAGCAGAAATTCAGCGCTAACCAACACACAATATATGCAGAATGGGCAGCAACCTCAAGTCCTTCAATGGATCAAATACAACACAAAAAAAGATGGAGTAGGGCTGCGCCAATACGAATAAAATAGTCTTAGAAAGGGTAGGAGGTCTCGCTAGAGTAGCAGTAGATAATCAGGGGAACTTGATAACACGTTGTGACGGTAGTGATTTGTATCACCGCCTAGTATTCCCTTTTTCCCAATAGCAAAATAACAACAATAATCCACAGGGTAAAATAACGCTGGTATCTCCAAATAATCCATACATGAGCCAAAGCTTAATGCTGGAAAAAGACTGATTTACTGGAAGCAACAGGCATTCAATTTATACAGTACAAGTTCCTCCTCTGGGCCAGGCTAGATAATTGAGTTTCAGCAACATACTAAACTAAACTCAATTATCTGCTGGCCAGAAACATTAACAATTTTCAACATTTTTGGAAATATACTTTCTACATGACCTATGCATATCCCTGGGTAGCTGAGGATACTGGGAGTAACATATCCAAATTGCACGAAAATCAATTAGGTAGTTTCCGTGTCGCATCATGTGGAAGTTTGACCGGCTCGCCATGTGGTTGTATCCGATTTTGAGTTCCATGAAATTGGTAGCAAGAGCCGGTCTCTGTTCGTGCAGAATTACACGAAAACCACCATAGTTATATTGCATCTGGTTACATGAGAATGCTCCCCTTGTTCGGTTGATTGGAACTGCCGAAGTGTGTGGAAATAGGTCAGACGGGACTTCCATAAAACGGTGCCGAAAACGGTTCCAGGCAATCCACAAGTAAGTCCCGCTGGCCACATTCTGGAGATTTAAGATGGCCACCATCCTTTGTTTTCGCCACGTGTTCGTATGCCGAATGGCAGCCACCTAGGAGCACTCAATTACTTTGCGTTTTTCGTGTGGTTACTTGGTGTTCTAAGTTCTGATTGCTACCCAGAGTGTTCTCCATTCGGTAGAACGAATATATGTCCCGAACACAGAAATAAAATGAATATTTTAAAGTCACTTAAATAGCAGGGAGAGGAAATAACCAAATGAATACAGGTACATTGAAATCCTTTACACACGTATTCTCTTCAATGGGAGCGGATAAGTTTCAGGGTGTTAGTTTGTATATATGAAACAGAAAAGAGACAGAAAGCCACCAATAGTGCAGTAAGTAACAAGAGGTAGAGAACTCACATTTAAAAGCGCTATGGCCAGCTCTGGTGTGTAGAGCATAGTGCTATCTAGTCCCCGCTTATGGGATGTGGAAGATGTATCAGTCAGCGCCATCTGGTAATCCAAAGCTCCAAAGGGAAGATAAAAGGCAACATTAGTGCTCTCAATTGTGATAAAATAAGAGTAGAAAAGAGTGATAAGAGTAATACTCACAAGTACTGATATAGCATTGGTGGTGTGATACCCACCTCGGATTTACTTGGAGTAAGAGCGTAGGGCAGGCTTACTGTTCGATGGTATCAGCTCTGGTGGTATAATCCCTACCTCGGGTTTCTTTTGATTAGTAGTAAAAAGCCAAGTAGCAAAGGAAATATATTATCAAAGGAAATTGGCACAAACCTGGTCTATTTGTCCAAAAGAATTTCTTTTGTTCAGTAGTAAAAGTAAATATAAAACATCCAAATACGCGTTTCACCAATGTGGCTTTCTCAAAATGGGATAAAAACATACAACCTGGCTACATAAAGTTTAAAAAGGGGTATGGTATTTTAAAATTGGTGCCAAGGGGGTGGGGCTTGACCGCGAAGCTGTGAAGACGTGCATCACAACAGCTCCTGCTGAACTAAAGGCTAAAATTCACTGCCACACTGGCATTTAATCGAGGATACAAGGCTGTCAAGGCTGTCAAGTGAGAGAGGGCATCGATACGAACAGATCGACACCTCATAAGCAATAAATCGAGCCCAAATCATGATGCGGCCTACCAGCATGGCTCTCGCCGGGGAGACGGCCGCTCCCCTGAGGCGACAGCAGGCCGGGTGCCCGGAGGTGAGCTCTCGCCCCCCCCCCGGACCGATGGGGGTCATCCCGGTCCGCCCCTACATAGCTTCCCGGCGAAGCAACGAGCCAGCTCAGGCCTCAAGGAGCCCAGAGCCCAGGGTCCCTACTGTCTCAAAAAATGATCCTTCTGACGCATGGCGGGAAACTGAAACACGTCTGAGCATCATATTCTCCGCATTTTGGGAGAAGCTTGAGGCCCATATGACACCCTCGGTAGCTGACAAACCGCCTCACTCATCTCCACAGGGCTCACCAAGAGAGATTGGGCAGAGCAACGCAGCAACCCCACATCAACGCATGGCCCCGACGGGCAAGCACAAACGGAGGTCCCATTCAGGACCAGACCCAAGAGACCACCAAGGTAGTCAGCAACAAGACCTTGCGCCCAGGGGCAAGAAGAGGAAGCTGGGCAGATCACTTGCAAAAGTCCCATGAATGCTGCGGAAGAAGCAACGCACCTCCTCCTTGCGGAAGGTGGCATTGCGGGATATCCCTACCTGGCACAAAGCAGGATCAAAACATGAGCCTGAAGTACTGTGGGAAACCACGAAGAAGACGGAAGACCCGACCTATCTACTGGCATCCCGGCACCATACCCTGCGATTAGCTTCACAATTACAAAAAAGGTCACAACAACAGCCGGAAAAGAGGAAAGGGACCCCCCCAAAAGCGATCAAGGAACCGACCTGCCTGCATGCAGCTTGGAGCTTTGCCATGCAGGACTGCCACTCATACCTGGACTGTATCCAGCACCCAATAGGTATTGGCTGAACTACTATGGGCACCCCGCAGGCAAAACAGCCAACACTCTCCTATGGGGTTATTTGCCTGTCTCCTGGACTGATTCCGAAACACACAGCAGGATGCATCTTAACACCTGTCACCTGAAGCCCATCTGCACTCGATTAACCACAACAGTATGATAACAATAGCGTTATGTTTAACCTTCAGTCTAGCACACACCTATTGTTTAATGGGGAGACTTGCCTTCACACTACAGGGTTAATTAATGAAGCACTTGATAGCCTCCCTTGTTTTATAATATCGCCTAGCATATGGCAACGCAGCCATTAAGCACATACACTCAGCCTGTTAATACTACACTACAGTGCAGAAAGTAAACTAACCATATGTGATCCACCCTTGTATAAGCCTGAATCAATCGGTTCATATGTTATTCTATGGCACTCAAAACTAGCTAACATTAAACACGAACATGAAGCGAGGTTATATTCAGTTATGACTGTTAAAATAAGCTACCTTTTCATTTTATATTAATGACTTCACTGTTCAGCCAAGCTGATGATTGTTACAATTATACAAAACTGTGCAATTCCTCATGCCACTGTTCCACTTAAGTACATTCTCAGACACGCTGTTGTAGCGTATGTCATTGCTATGTATAACATGCACAACAACAACAAAAATTTCAAAAAAAAATTCAGCTTTAAATTGGGAAGCCGTGACAGTCAATAAAATACTAATGTACAGATCATATATGCAGTATTGTAGATCATATAATGGGGGGTATAAATATATATATTTAAATTAATAAAACAAAGTGTATTGACTGTAATATCTGCTTTTTTAGTACTAGCTGCTTGGCATTATGGGGATTGTAGTTATCTTCATATATGATGTCAGCAAGGAATTCTCACACTTGCAGACATCAGGGGAAAGCTCAGTGGCCCTTTTTAATGTAATAGGTGGATGGAGGGGAAAAAGTGTAGTGGCATCTTGGGAGGGAATAAGGTCATACTGTGGTGGCTATATTAGGAGGTGAAAAAACAATGTACATAAGAATAAAAACCATGAATGACACATAAAGTATATAGTATAAGTGCATGAGTACATGAATGACACATGTTATGCATGGTCTAATACATAGAAAGGAATTAGACAAAAATAATATATGCAAAAGCAGCATTTTAGACCGTAACTAGAGAGAATAATTAAAAAAAAATTATTGAGAATGAGGCAAAAAGCACTTTGGTGGATTTTGTAGCTAGGATCTTATCAGGCATAAAATCACAGAAACACCTAAGATATCTGAGGGGAAGTTGTTATGGTAAGGGTATCCTAAATCACAATGCCATAGGTGAAACAATTGCGATCAGGGTGTCCCTAAGGTAACATCGAATAAATTAGGGATGTGCATGGGGTTTGGTTTGCCATTCCGAAATTCTGGACTTCGGCACCTCGACACTTTGGAACTTCAGACCTTGCGCACTTCGGAATTTCGGAACTTCGAAACATCGGAACTTCGGGACATTGGAACTTCGGGACATTGAATGTTCTCGTGCAGCCGCGTAGTAGATAACTCCCTAATTCCCACAGTATTAGGGAGCTATCTACCAAAAGGCTGAAAGACCTAAATTGGTCTTTCAGCCAAATTTACTAATACCAGGTAAAGATTACTTAGTATTAGTAAATTAGGGATTATTCTAGTTTACAGTGAACAAATAATTTAAATTTTATTAAAGACAGGAGGCGAATATTTGCTTATCTTTCTTTACTGTAACTCCCAGCAGCAAAGAAGTAGTTAACAAGGTTGTAAAAAATTAAACCAATCATAACACATCATAGAACAATATAGTGACATCAGACTCCTCCCACTTCCTCTTTCTTGGTGGTGCCGATCAGCAGTAGAATCAACCATGTAAACTGGAAACATTCTGGAACCATAACTCAGATGCAACGTAATGAAGTCAACCATGTAAACATGTTGTCGAGTAGATCAACGTGAGATTTTCACACTGGGAGAGAAGAGAAATTTTGTGAAAGTATGGTCTCTTAGACAAGCGAAAAAAACACAAGTACGCACTTTAAAGTGATAGCTCAGATTATCTGGTAGGATTTACAGATCATAATGGTAAAGTGCGATGTAGGATTAGGTCACTAGGCTAACAAAACTGTATACCTACAACAAGCATATTGCAAGAGAGTGTACAATGCAATAACAGTAGAAAAGGAGAGTTACCCTAAGGGTGGGTTCCAGAGTGAACGAAGGGAGGGAAAATATTCGCCTCCTGTCTTTAATAAAATTTAGATTATTCGTTCACTGTAAACTAGAATAATCCCTAATTTTATGGCAAGACAGGAGGCTTCATATTTGCTGTTTTAATGCTCTTAAATAAAGGAACAAGCTGCATGTGATGTAGGTTTTGTAACGGACCGTTTTGCCCAAAAGAGGTTAAAAACCGTTTAGGCGATATTCCTCTTTTTCAGCTGCACAGACAGCTAATGCAAGCACCAATCTCCCGAACTGCATACACACGAATAGCTGCTAGCAGACGAACAGGAAAAGCCCCCAAGTGGCTTACACTCCTGGCAATCAGTCTCTAACAGCATACAGTAAATCCTCCCCCAATAATGAGACGACACTGTCAGGATACTGACAGGGATCCAATACGCAGAGTGCGGACAGAAGGAGGTACGTATACCGGACCTTAGAATGGCCAGACTAACGTAGGGACAAAGCAAGAATAGTCAAAAGGTAAGCCGAGGTCGAGGGAGCCGGAGGACAGGTAAGCGAGATACAAGCCGAGTCAAAGGAGAGGAGAGGACAACAGGACAAAAGACAAGCAAGGGTCAAAACCGGAAACACAAGATAAAGAACGCGCTGAGTGACTAGCAAGCTAGAACCACGACAGGGCAATGAGCAGTAGTAAAGGTTTCCTTTAAATACCCTGTTACCTAAATAGAGACCACGCCCCCAAAAGGTCCGGAATAGCGGTTCCCGGCACTTCATGTAAATGCCGACGTCATGACGTCGACGCTAGCCGTCGCGTCATAAAAGGGGGAGGAGCTATCGCGGCCGGCGCGAAAACGGCCGGAATATGCCGAAATGCTAGGGGCAGGGAGCCCCTAAACAGAGAGGATGTCTTCCCTGGATTCAGCACCAACAGGTACCCTGACAGACACTTCACTTTGAGGGTTAAGCAGGAACTCCCTGTAATGGCCACATACTGGCTTTTTTGCAAGTCCCCATGCAAGGGGACATCCCACAGGGTGGGACACAGTACAACCAATCATTTACAGGAGAACCGTAAAACACACCCACATTTACATCACAATCCCTCCTCTCTGTCCAGGAGATAAATGTAAAGTAATTCAATTATCTCCCAGAACAGAGGCAAGACTCCATTAACCACATGGCAGTAACAATACAATAAAAGACATAAAATTACATACAGTTACATTTATTCCATAAAACATAGACATTCTACACATCCCCAGATAGCTTAGATCTGAGTGCACATTACTACCGAATGGTGCTCAGATCACATACATACAGTTCAATCGCCTTGGAGCCAAAGTCTTTCCTACAGTCTTTCAGTATACGGCTGGGCTCCATGGCATAGCTATCTGGGGTAGCATGGCTTTAACAGTCCACAGAAAGGCACGGCAATAAACCTTTCTGCCGGTAAAGTAAAAGTACAAAATACAGGACCATAGTCTAAAGGGAGCAGGCGAGCAACCAGGCTTCTCCAGTGTACAGTGGCGAGGTTGGTTTCGCCACACTTCTCCCCTTTACCAATCAGACTAACAGGGTATCTGACCTCCTGCCGGTCAGTGCCCTTGTTAGTCCAGCAGGCCACCCACAAAACACAATTAGTAATACAGCCCCCCCCCAAGAACTGGTTACTACACCTGGGTAGAGGAGAACGTTGTCCATGCGCCTCACCATGGCTGTGTGGGTGACTGGTAAGTGGACTGTGTGGGTTGCTGAGTGGGCAGAGACCAGCGGTACTCTGTCCTGGTGCCAGCACTACCACGGGAGTAGTCTGGTTGGAGCCTGGTTGCTGGAGGGGGAGACCGACTGTCTCCCCTTTGGCTAAACAGCCCTGTCGCTGGGGGGGCAGAACCGACCGTCCCTACCCCCTGTGCTGTAAGTGCAGAGACCACGGTCCCATCTGCACGGTTGTGGGGCTTCTCATCTCCCCTTGGTGGGCTATGCTGCCGCTGTGGAGAGGGGGCAACAAGCTCTTCTCCCTGACACTCTCCCTGCTGGGGGAGAGGGGGACCAACTGTCTCCCCTTTCAATATATTGTCCTGCTGCTGGGGAGGGGGGACGGTACCTTCGGCTCCCTGGGACTCACTTGACTGCTGAGGAGATGGACCAACTGTCTCCTCTCCTAAGAACACACAGGGCCACTGGGGAGGGAGGACAGCACCGTCAGCTCTCTAGGACACACACTGCCGCTGGGGAGGAAGGATGATACCTTCAGCTCCCTGGGCTACACACTGCCACTGGGGAGGAAGGACGACACCTTCAGCTCCCTGGGACACACACTGCCGCTGGGTAGGAAGGACGACACCTTCAGCTCCCTGGGACACACACTGCCGCTGGGGAGGAAGGACGACACCTTCAGCTCCCTGGGGGACACACTGCCGCTGGGGAGGAAGGACGGCACCTTCAGCTCCCTGGGACACACACTGCCGCTGGGGAGGAAGGACGACACCTTCAGCTCCCTGGGACACAAACTGCCGCTGGGGAGGAAGGACGACACCTTCAGCTCCCTGTAATACACACTGCCGCTGGGGAGGAAGGACGGCACCTTCAGCTCCCTGGGACACACACTGCCGCTGGGGAGGAAGGCCGACACCTTCAGCTCCCTGGGACACACACTGCTGCTGGGGACTCTCCCAACCTGCCAACTTACGTGCCCGCCCTGCTCTGACCTGCAGGTACTCTTCTACATGTCTCCTCACAAGCTGCATGCATCTCTCTGGGGGGTTGGATCCAAAGAAAGCCATCCGCGTGGTAA